ACACTTCCATTCTGGCTGAAAGAAAGTTTTCCTTTACGGCGAATATGTCCCCATGCTACCTTCACCTTTTCAAGCAACACTCTGTATTCTCCTTTACCAAAATAAACGGTATCCATCACCTCCCGCTCATTGGGTCTATCTAACATCACGAATCCTAATTGACGGCGCATCAAGATAGGGTTATAATTAATGAACCCTCTTGTCCCCATAAGCGGGACATTAGGGAATTATCCACACCCTATAATGATCTCTTTTAAACCTATCTCACTTTGCCAAACAATATCATACGAAGTAAGTCCCATGATACGCTGAGACCATAAAGATGAATCGACAGCATGAACAAAAGGCCCTTTTGTAGGCATATGCATCATCAACCATTTATAAAGAGCGATCGCGCAACACATAACTTCCACTTTCTTTACATGTCGGTAATGTATGGTGTAATAAGTGTCAGCGAGTAGAGTTGGTACAGGGTTACCGTTCATGAAGACATATAATGCAGATAGATGCACCAACTTCTCAGATACTGGGAAGAGGACCAAACCATAAATCATTGCTATCAGCAGTGCATTAAATGATGTCCAACTCATGTCCTTTACAAAACCTTTAGCCTTTAATATCAAGTAATTCAGAGGGAGACCACTTGTGTCGCTTTTGTTAATCCAATTACTTTTAACTTCACCACGAGTCAAATAAAGAGCTCTGGCGATCGCCATATAGTCTGGAACCCCTGGTGCTCGAACAAAGGGAATATTGTTGGTCACCCTGACATCTATAATATGCGCATACTCTTCAAGAGTTGGTGCCAATTGATAATCCCGGAAAGTAAAATAGCGCAGCTGCAGATCATAGAACTGAAGAAGTGTTCTCACAGCCCATTCTACAAAATCATCATTCACCAACGCAAATAGATTTCCATATTGTCCTCTGAAAACTTTTTCATTTGGTCCTTTCACAAGAGCTCCTAACTCTCGTAATCGACCACCAAAGCATGGGAAATGATAAGCAGCAGTGTTTCTAAGAGGCTCTGAACTTGTCTTCATGTTGTTATCCATCCTTGATGCTGACGACAGACCTCAGAATAATCCTGGAAATGAAATGCAAATGCAGGTTAGGCAGTTATATATTTTTTTTGCCCTTTTTTTACATTTCTTTTATAAAATAAATATGCCATGATACAAGTGCAATAATCATAAGATCGAAGTTTTGGCAATGCTGGATAGTTGTTAAACTGATAACAAAACCACTGTCATATCTAATTAGATCAAAGGTCCGGACCAAATCAGAATACCAAGGATCAAAGTCACCAGTATAATCAGAATCACCAACGGAACATGTATAGTCACCATCTGTACCTGTAAAGATCATTCCCTCCCCACTCACGGGTAAAGACTAGGTCATGGTAAGGTCAATGGTAACTCAGAATCGAGGGTACTCCTAAGAAAACTATCGCCATATCACCTATGTGAAAATGATAGCCCCTCATTTGTACCTCATCTGAGCGTGGACGACATGGCGTCATAGTGAAACCTAAGTCAACTAGCCGTTTATGTTCCACTCTATTCCTAGTGTTCCTGTGGTTTCCACTTGACCTGGGTATTGGGACTTTTACCTCATAGTGACATCCCACCCATCAAGAGACAGAGAAACCAACACAGCAACAATATGACAAATGATAATAAAGATGCAATGAAAACATATGCTCAAACATATACAAAATGAATAATCCATAAAAGAATAATGACAAACACCCTAAGAAAAGAAAAAAACCTGGAGCTAGGAGTGACTCACGGGATGGACCAGCAATTGGTCGACATAGAATCCCCAGTGAAGTCGCCATTTTTCTGTAGCGGTAAAATCGATGAAGTCGCCATCGAGTATTTATTTATCCCATATGAAAGGGAAAGGAATATCATCAAAGAAAACATAAAGGGGAAATGAAGGTCTTGCGACCGAGAGATTGGGTAAGGGAGTCGATTACGCGAGGGGAAGGTATTAACACCCCACACGTCCATAGTACTCTACAGGATCCACTCTCGTTATTCTAATCAAAGGGTGTGTTCAATCTAATTCTTAAGGGTTATAAACTAAGAGGGAATGCATGCAAAGAAAAGAGAAAGAATGTAGGGAAAATAAAGTTGTAATCGCTCGGGCCCTACCCCAATGCCTACGTATCCTTTTTGAGGAATCAGAGATACCGTAGTTCGGCTCATATATTTTGTTTGTTTGTATTTTTTAAATGAACAATGTTGCATTCGATCATTCCACCGCTGCTCGACCTTTGGAGACTTATGACCTGCAGTGGAAAGGAGCTAACATGCTCTTAGAAGATAAAAGCCGAATGGTGAAAAGAAATGGATTAGTGGGTATTTTTTATTATGAAAAGTATTTTTGTATGCTTAGCATTCTTTGTACATTTGCCAAGAAAAAGAAGTTTTAGTTTTAAGTGCAGTTATGGAAAAATGAGAGGAAAACATCTAAGGGAGACTAACCTATCTCTAACCTAATGTTATCATACAATGAGGGATCCTATCTAAGTTAGCATGCCAAAGAAAGTCTAACAAACTATCCTATAGGGAACATGCACTGAGAGCGAAGTCGTGATCTCAATTTCTAAATTCAGTGACTCATCGATCAACAAGAAATAAAGGAAAGCAATAAAATCTTATGGGAAGCATGCACTGAGAGCGAAGTCGTGATATCAATTTCTAAATTGAGTGACTCATCGATCAACAAGAAAGGAAGCAAACACAAGGACAACACATAACATAACTAAAGTGTGGAATGCCTGCTACAGGTCATTAAACAGCGACTTCGAGCGCACGCTCTTTATTTCCTACTTCACATGATATATAGAAAGCAATAACGAAATGCAATAAAGTGCGAAGAAGTACAAGGGTAGTAGCGGAGGCTACCAAAGCGAGCAAGTCGTCAAGAACAGACGAAAGCACTGAAAAAGCAGGGAGTACGCGTCGAGCTAGCTTCACCAAGAAACAAACAAAGTTAGAAACAATATCCAACTAAGATAAAGGCAAACGCGTGTCGCGAATGCAGTGCATAATCAGAAGTTCCGTTAAACCACTGATCACACCAAGGGAATTGAATCAAGGATACGGAATCGACAAGAACGTATTAGCATCTTAATTCTAATCATGTACCAAACATTAATTCAATTAATTCCTAAACTAATAAAAAATAATTATGAGAAAAATATCACTAAGTCAAAGAGTAACATATTAGTACCCACACAAAATTTCAGCCAAAAATCATGGAAGAAAATACTACAATTAAATCGCCAAAATTCAAGAAACAAAGTGAAAAAATAAAAGAAGTTAGGAGGTGCAGTGTGAGCTGATGGGAGTGTGGTTACAAATCCTGAATGCTAAGCCCAAATCTAATTCCCTTCAGCATTTTCATATTTTTATAATAAAAATGAATTAAAAGAATTTGAAAAAAATAAAATAAAATAAATTAAAACCATGGACCGAAACATTGCGTTTTGTTCGTATCACTTCAACCTAGGTCGCTTCTTCCTCAACCATGGAGCTGCAAAACTTCCTCTCTTCTCACTCGCACCGCGCGGCGCCGTGGTGGCATCATCATCATTCTCCTTCTTTCTTCTTCCGCCATTCACCTTCTCAAACTCCATCCTTTTGCAAGAAGCTCAAACCTTCATCTCTAAATTCATCGTGAACAGAAGCCCTAACGTACTCAATATGCCAAAGATTCAAGCGGCGATTTTTTTGGGCTTTACTTCTACTCTTCATCTTCTACCGATTCACATCAAGAAAAGCAGAGAAATAGATGAACAAATGCGTAAATTTAGCGTTGCTTACCTACCGGAAGAACTGTTCGGCGCTTTATTCAACAATCGTTGCAACAACAAGAAATCTGGAGATCATTTCTTCAATTTATTCTTCTTCTTCTTCTTCTATTCTTCGTGTTAACTTCTGTGGTTTTGTGATTCCCTGATGTTATTTTTTATTCTGCATAACTCGCGATATTTATGAAACAAGTCTAAAATCTGAGTCGATGATGATGATGCAAGGTTGCAGATTCGTCGTTGTTGCAGATTTGGTGAAATACCGATGACGATGATCGAAGTTGCGCGATGATAGTTACAGTATGAAGCTCTGCGAATTGGAGGTTGTTGAAGTTGTATTGATGATGGAGATGAAGCTATGTTATGAAGCTTCAAAAATGAAGAATAGGTTCAGAGATTTTTCTAGAAAGAGGTTGAAGAATCATTGTCGAGAAAGAGAGAGAGAGAGCAGAGATCTTCAGAGCTTTTTTCTGGTGAGTTCCCTTTTAGGATTTTCTGCGTTGAATAATTGTATCCCCTCATATTTTTATATTATCAGTTGAATATTGTTGAGGGTTGATGAAAACAGTTGATGGAGATTCACAAAGGTTATGCAAACTGGTTGATAACTAAAGCTTCAAGGTTGATGCAGGGTGATGCAAAAAAAGTTGATGAAGGCCACGGATCAGGTTTAATGATGATTGAAGAAGATGCAAATAATTTCATAGAGAGAGAGAGGTTGGTGATTGAGGAATCGTGAAGAGAATGATGAAGGATGTGCAGCAGAATTCTTCAGGGGGTCATTCTAGAGGTGATTTATTTCTCTGTGAGTTTTCTATCTGTTAGATCACTGGCCTCTTGAAAATGAATCCCTCCATCTGTTATGAACTCTCAGCCCTCCCCCCCTCTCATTTTCTGTTATTTCTCTGTTAAGAAGCAGTTAGAAGGGTCTGAGGTTGTTAAGGCCGTTAGGGAGTTAGTTTTGGTTTGGTATTTGTTAGATACAGTTAGAAAATTTGTTAAGATCCTGTTATGAAATCAGTTTCTGTTTTGAATGTTGATTGGAAGTTAGTTACAGGCGGTTAGGAGGTTAGAAAGTTGGTTGGAATTTCGTTAGAGTTAGTTTTTTTTTAGATTAGAAACTGTTAGAAATCAGGTTTCATTTTCTGTTATGACAGTAATGGACTGGGTTTTTTGATTAACTGTTTTCTGGGTGTTTTTGCAGGGTCCTTTTTATAACAAAGAAAGAAGGCGCACTCTGTTCAAAACTAGGAGTGGCATGAGAAGGTTTTGAAGCACCAAAAGATGTTGAACCATAAGGTTTTGAAGTGGTAAAAGACGCTGAACCATAAGAGGGTGTTGGGAGGGCAACTCTCTGAGGAGCACTGGCCTTCCGACTACCTAGTAGATCAAGCTCTTTTGCGGCCTTACACTGAGAAGGAATTTCCATCAATGTTGCGAGAGAAAAAGCCGCCTCTTTTCGTGAAGGAGGAAATTTTGTTGACATGATTTCTGTGAAATTCACAAACTGAAAATTATCAAAGACCCTGGCTGGCATATTGTCATCAAACTCCTTCATCATGTCCCAAGGTCCATCTCCAACACCGACCAACATGATCGAAAGAGGAAATTCACTGGCTTCAACAATGGCATCCATAGTTTTCTGTTCTTGTGGACTAAGCCTCGCTTGATCAGTGTCAATACTTCTTATAACCTGGCCATCTGCAATTATCACTAAAACATGGTATTAGCCTCCACTTTGCTCAACAATTGTCATTGCCATTTCAACAATGGGTGCAAAGGATGTAGGGCCTGCAAGTTGAATATTAGGAACAATTTCCCTATACCGACTTAAAACTTCTTAAAATCCATTACAAAATCTTTCGTCTGGATAGAAATTGGAGACATCTTGATCATGTGTTGATGCATCTCCAAATCCAAAACAAGGAATCAAGTTATCCTCATCAAATGCGGCCAAGGTTTTTCCAACAATGGATATTGCTTGTTCATAGGTATTTGGACCATTCCCGTTGTGATGCAAACTTTTTCTGTTAAATGAATGCATTCCTGTACACTCATTGCTCTTGGTGAAATCAATTCCAAGAATAAGATTGGGAGACTCAAGGCCTGCACGTGCAAGAGCCTCGGTCAGCTCATATATGGAGTTGTAATTATCAGCAATCCTTGAGTATTTCCTCTCTAACTTTATCTTATCGTCTTGACGGGGCACTCTACCACTATTATGGGGCTCATGGTCATAATTTTGTGGAGGAGGAGGAGGCCGGGTATCATAATACGGTTGATAAGAAGGCTGTTGGGCATTATAGCTATATGGATAACCACCCTGACCGTAACCCAAATGAGGATCAGGATATAAATTCCACGAAGAAGAAGAAGCAGATGAACTTGATCTCAAAGATGAATCCTGCCTCAAATTTTCCTCTTTAGAACTTTCTCCCCCTATCAACTTAATTCTTTGAATTTTTTTGTTTTTCTTTGGTTATTGATGAGTGCAGGTCCGGAATTTGGTCGTAGACTTGTGATGCTTAATTGCTTTTGTTTATGACTGTTTTTGAATATTTAGTGTAAATTCTTGTTTTGATTTAGTAATTTTGGATTTAAATGGCCTTTGTAATTTTCTCTTGTAATGCTCCAATAATATAGCTTCTAAATTGCATGGTTATGACCGAGAATGAAGTTGGATAATATTTTGACAAATCATTCGTGATGTTTAGAACTTGTAAAGATCATATCATTGAATGAACGTGAACCCTTGGATCTTGATAAGTTTTGATGAACAAAACTAAATGAATAACCTTGAATGATGTCATGACTTGTAATTCTTTGCAAATTCGTAACTTGTACACCAAGAGAACCATATGAACAAATCTTCTAACTTCATCTTGAATCAACCATTGTCAAATCATGAAATTGAGACCTTGAGCTAATATTAATCTTGAGCACAATTAGTAATTTCAACGAATCCAGATCACTAGTCATTTCCCTCAATAGTCCAAATTAACTTGCAATTGATGTAACAAATATTTGATGAGAACCAAAAACTGTATCGTTCAAAACAAGTCCACAATGTTGAAGAAGGAGAACCCAAGATAACCAGATAAGTCGATCCCTAAACCAATGATCTCCAATTGAAGCATAATAGAAGAAAACCCCAATTCTTAAGCGTTGAAGAAAGATCACAACTTGATGTTGAGGAGAGAATATCCCCAATTCCTCGAAATCCCTGATTTCAAGTCGAACTATCGACTAATGATGCATGATGTGTCAGATGACCTAATGAAGGTTATGTACCTCAATCTCAAATAAATCCACAGATTCTAGCCACCTTCCAATTGAAGCGACCAACCACCATTCAGAGAGAGAAACCCTAATGCCAAAGCTCTTTGATCTTATAACCATGAGACTAATGCTATGTGCAAAATGTACGAAGTATAATGAGGGATCTTAGGGGCAAAAATTGGGGTACAACAGGAGGCACATGAATTTTTTCAACATAAATCTGACATTTATGGCACTTCTTTGCAAATTTGCAACAGTCAGATTTTATTGTCAGCCAATAGTAACCTGCCCTAAACATCTTTTTGCCATCGAATGTCCATTGGCATGAGTACCAAAGGAACCTTCATGGATTTCATGCATCAACATGTCTACTTCGTGTATATCCACACATCTGAGCAAGGCCATGTCATAATTTATTTTGTATAGCACATCCTCACTGAGGAAAAGTTGCCTCCCAACCTTCTCAGTGTCTTTCTATCTTTGTTTGACGCACCAGCAGGGTATTTTTGAGTCTGGAGAAAATGCTTGATATCATGATACCAAGGTTTTTCTTCTGATGTTTCCTCTGCTGCAAACACATGATCCTGCCTATCCAGACGTCACACTGTGATACGAGGCATATCATTCCAAGTATTTACTTGATACATAGAAGCCAAAGTGGCTAAATCATCAACCATCTGATTTTCATCTCTCGGATTATGATAGAATTCAACTTTATTAAAGAAGGGTAATAATTTTCTAGCATAGTCTTTGTAGGGAATCAAGCCAAGGTGGCAAGTATCCCATTCTCATTTAATCTAATTTATTACCAAAGTTGAATCACCATACACATCTAGAATTTTGATTTTGAGATGAATAGCCTCCTCGAGACCCATGATACAAGCTTCATACTCTGCCATGTTATTAGTGCAATCAAATTCCAATCTTGCAGTAAATGGGATATGCAATCCATGAGGAGTGATAATCAGAACACTAATTCCTTTCCTATAAGCATTCACAGCTCCATCAAACACCATGCCCCCACCGGGATTCAGGATCAGGACCTTCCCCGGGAAAAGGATATTTTATTTTCAAAAACATCACATTCTCATCAGGGAAATCATATTTAACAGACTGATAATCATCAACTGGTTGGTGAGCAAGATAATCTGCCAACACATTGCTTTTTATAGCCTTCTGAGTATGGTATTCAATATCATATTCAGATAACAACATCTGCCAACGGGCAATTCTCCCGGTAAGAGCGGGCTTTTCAAAAATATACTTAATTGGATCCATTTTGGAAATCAACCAAGTAGTATGATTCAACATATATTACCGCAACCGTTTTGCCGCCCATGCCAGAGCACAATACGTTTTTTCCAGCATAGAATATCGTGACTCACAGTCAGTAAACTTCTTGTTGAGATAATAAATGGCATATTCTATTCTCCCCATTTCATCTTGTTGTCCCAAAATACAGCCCATAGAATTATCTAACACTGTCAGATGCATAATCAATGGTCTTCCTTCAACAGGAGGGAGCAAGATATGAGGTTCAAGCAGATACACTTTAATACTTTCAAATTCCCTCTGGTAATCATCTGTCCACACACAACCTTGATCTTTCTTTAACAACTTAAAGATCGGCTCACACGTTGCAGTCATATGGGAGATAAATTTGGAAATGTAATTCAAACGCCCAAGGAAGCCTCTAACTTGCTTTTCAGTTCTTGGCACTGGCATTTCTTGAATTGCCTTAACTTTATCAGGATCAACTTCAAACCTTTTCTGGATGACAATGAAACCTAACAATTTTCCTGATCGAACACCAAAGGTGAATTTATTTGGATTCAAGCGGAGACGATACTTCCTCAAACGCTGAAACAATTTCAACAAATCTTCTATAGGCCCTTCTTCAGTCTGGGATTCAGCAATCATATCATCAATATATACCTCAATTTCCTTTTGCATCAGATCATGGAATAAGGTTGTCATAGCCCTCTGGTACGTTGCACTAGCGTTCTTCAACCCGAAGGGCATCACTCTGTAACAGAATGTTCCCTAGAGTGTGATAAACGTTGTTTTTTCCATGTTCTCGGGAGCCATTCTGACTTGATTATATTCAGAAAATCCATCCATAAATGAGAATACTTTTAATTTTGTTGTACTGTCAACCAACATATCAATATATGGCAATGGAAAGTCATCTTTTGGACTAGGTTTGTTTAAATCTCTATAATCAACGCACATGCAAACTTTTCCGTCTTTCTTTGGTACTGGGACAATATTGGAAATCCATTGTGGGTACACTGATGTCACAAGAAAACCAGCATTAATCTGCTTTAAAACTTCTTCTTTAATTTTCACTGCCATATCATGGTGAGTTCCTTGCAATTTCTGCTTGATTGGCGGGCATTCTGGCTTTAGCGGCAAATGATGTTCCACAATATCAGTATCCAATCCCGACATGTCTTGGTATGACCAAGCAAAGATATCCATGTAGTCTGTCAACAATTCAATCAACTTACTCTTCACGTTGGAATGAAGCAATGCTCCAATCTTGACTTCTTTCGGATCCTCCTCTGATCCCAAATTAATCATTTCTAATGACTCTTTATATGGCTGAATGGTACTTTCCTCGTGCTCAAGCAACCGTGAAACCTCTTCTGAGATTTCATCATATTCTTCTTCTTCATCCACATATGTACATATGATTTATGATTGTTTTTAGAAACTGGCACATATAGCAAGTGATTATGCAGATTTAATTACAGTTATTATTTATTTTGAAAGGATTTTTCTGATAACCATTTTCCAAGAAAATAAAATAAAATAAAGACACAATTTGGGAATCAAAGACAACTTTTATTATTGATTTTAAAGATCAAAGCAACAAATAAGCCCATACAATATCAATACTTTCAGCTTGGGTAGAGTGAAAGATTTTTGAAAAGACTAGTCAAAAACAAATTACTTTGAGATATGAATGCAAGAGGGAACATCAATAGTGACCCAATTTTGGACTCTGACTCCATGTGTCACGTAGTTCGGCATCTCTTGCTCTGCTTCGCCTTCCAGAATAGCATTGATCCTAGGAACAGTTGGATGAAGGTAACCTCTTCTATGAAAGATGTCTTGATATTTTCCCAAAGCATACTTCGGCTTCATAATTTCACTTTTATCATTCTTCACAGAGAATCCCAAACCAACTCTATTCTTATTCACAGGTGGATCAACAATCTGCCCCCACACTTTACTAGGGCCATTACGCACTACCTGTTGAGCATGTTTAAACAAAGCTATAGAATTATCATTTTCCTTTACATTATCAATGGATAAAGCTTGGAACTGAGTTCCAATAATAACTTCATCTATTTCCACAATATTGAAAGAGGATAAATGAGATATTAACAATGTTTGTTCTCCATTTATGATGACCACCTTTCCTTCACGAACAAACTTCAGCTTCTAGTATAAAGTTGAAGTAATAGCCCCTGCCTCGTGGATCCACAGTCGTCCCAGTAAATAGCTGTAAGAGGGAACTATATCCATAACCTGGAAAGTAATCTGAAATAAATGCGGGCCTATGTGAATAGGAAAATCTACTTACCCGATGATAGACTTCCTCGATCCATCAAAAGCTTTCACAATTATGCCACTCGGGGGCATGGGAGTTCCCTGGTACTTCAACTTCATGAGCGTGCTCCTCGATATGACATTTAAAGCGGACCCATTATCAATCAGCACATTGGACAATGAATCATTCTTACAATTCATAGAGATATAGAGAGCCAAGTTATGATTCCTTCCTTCATCAGGCAATTCGTCATCACAGAAATGCAGGTTATTACAGGATATAATATTCCCTATGACACTGCTGAACTGGTCCAAAGGCATATCACTTTCCATGAAAGTTTGATATAATATTCTCATCAAAGATTCCCTGTGGGTAGAAGAGTTCATTAGCAAGGCTAGAATGGATATCTTTGATGGGGTCTGCAACAATTGATCTATGATCCTGTAGTCGCTCATCTTGATGATCTTCAATATATTGTCCATGTCTTTTTCCAGAGTAGTACCATTAGACTCCCCACTACTTTCTTAGGTTCGGTACTTTCAATAACCTTTTTATCAGCATTAACATTCCCTTGAATGACAGGTGCGAAAACACAACCACTGTGGATCACTCGGCTGGCTTCAGAAATATTCTTGACATCAGACAAAGGTTGGATGAGGACTTCCACACCATCCTCCAAGATTGTAGCATTATATTTGTATGGCACGACTTTGTCTAATTCGTAAGGAATAGGCCCCGATAAGCAAATCACCACAGGAGCAACAGTTGGATTGCTATGATATTCAATCTCTATAGGGGCGGGAACACCGAAATAAGGCACAATAACATTCACCCCTTCTTCATAAGGCACATAATCATCTCTGGAGAACATATCTTCATCTGAGGAAAAGAATTCATCTGTGGAAACGTACTCATCATCCGACACAATCTCGGCCAAGCAATCTTCCATCATATTAATCCCATTTTAATCATATTTATGGCCTGAGACTTTGATAGTACCATTATTCAGTAACAACTGAACACCCTTTCTCACTTTGGAAAAACCACGAAAATCTCTGCAGCAGATCCGGCAAGTCCCATAACGGTGTTCTTCTTGACCATCCATGTGACAAAAAGTAGTGTGTAACTGCACAAAATCATCATTCATATGGTTCACGTCAAAAATCTAGAATTCTCCACGACATCCAAAGACCATATTCACATCCTCTTCGTACTATGCCCTTTGCCTAATTATATGAATGAGGCCTTCATCCATCATTTCTTGAAGATCAAATTTTATCTTATTGCATCCCTGGATATCGGTACTGCAAATACTACAACCAGCATGGTCGTGTGTATAGTAACTGAACTCGCATAGCTCATAATGCATTTTCACCAGATCCCCTCTAACCAGGTTGACATCAAAAATTCGGAAGTCCCCGGGACAACCAGCAAACATGTTTACATCATTTGCTCCTCCATGTTTAGGTAAAGGATTATCTTTCACGTTAGGGCCAACATCTTTAAAGAATAGGAGACCAGATCTCACCATCTTTTGTACTTCAGATTTCAAAGGATAACA